TATTTCAGAACCATTCATGAGGGGATTTCCTTTTGGACCGTGATTTGTCTGAAACCTCCCCCCCCCCCAGAAGTGTTCGCCAAGGGAGACCGTGCCAGGAGTATAGCACTCCAGGCTCCATAGCTCTGAGGCTCATTGAAACACACAAACCCTACCACCACGATAAGGTTATGATCCTTGGGTGATGATGATGATGATGACTAAAATAATAATAATAATTATAATTTAAATGTATGAAGCGCCCTTAAACGATCAGTTGTCAGGGCCCATAGTAGGAGGCCGCCTCTCTGATGTACAGCAGCCCGAGCGTGCGAGACAAACCAAAGACGACGCCAATCGACGTCGGCCACTCAACTTGACATCAGCTCAACAGAGTGGCCGATGGCGTCATCATCATCACGTGGACATTTATAGTGGCAGCAGCCACAAACTCTCTAAACGCGTGGTGGTGATGTTGATTCTTAAAGGTGGAAAGGGGTGGGGAGACACCAGAGGATGCGGAGAAACATCCACGCAGTGACCACCAGCAGGCATCGTCAGGGGTTGGAATCGAACTCACGGCCTCCTGTATACCAGGTGAGGTAGTCAACATCTCCTAACGACCGTCATTATGATGAGAGAGGGAGCCGGAGACTTAAAATAAACTGAAGCAGGCATCGTCAGGGGTCGGGATCGAACCCGCGCCCTCCTTCATACCAGGCGAGGTGGCCAACATCTCACCGCAATCGAATGTAGGAACTGTGAAAGCCAATCACTGTTGGCCGCTCTTTATTAAAAATAAAATGAGAATCCGGGGCGTGGGTGATAGGCGTTTTTATTTCACAAGAAAATAAACAGCGCATGCGTGCAGGTGCCTGCGTTCTGTTGGCCCAGTCGGCACAGCAGAGGGTACAAGTGATGGTGCATCGGCCAGTCATCTCAGTCAGTCAACCCATGGCATGTATCTACAGTGAGGGAAAAAAGCATTTGATCCCCTAATGATTTTGTACGTTTGCCCACTGACAAATAAATTATCAGTCTATAATTTTAATGGTAGGTTTTATTTGAACAGTGAAAGACAGAATAACAACAACAAAATCTAGAAAAATGCATGTCAAAAATGTTATAAATGTATTTGCATTTTAATGAGGGAAATAAGTATTTGACCCCTCTCAATCAGAAAGATTTCTGGCTCCCAGGTGTCTTTTATACAGGTAACGAGCTGAGATTAGGAGCACACTCTTAAAGGGAGTGCTCCTAATCTCAGCTTTTTACGTGTATAAAAGACACCTGTCCACAGAAGCAATCAATTAATCAGATTCCAAACTCTCCACCATGGCCAAGACCAAAGAGCTCTCCAAGGATGTCAGGGACAAGATTGTAGACCTACACAAGGCTGGAATGGGCTACAAGACCATTGCCAAGCAGCTTGGTGAGAAGGTGACAACAGTTGGTGCGATTATTCGCAAATGGAAGAAACACAAAAGAACTGTCAATCTCCCTCGGCCTGGGGCTCCATGCAAGATCTCACCTCGTGGAGTTGCAATGATCATGAGAACGGTGAGGAATCAGCCCAGAACTACACGGGAGGATCTTGTCAATGATCTCAAGGCAGCTGGGACCATAGTCACCAAGAAAACAATTGGTAACACACTACGCCGTGAAGGACTGAAATCCTGCAGCGCCCGCAATGTCCCCCTGCTCAAGAAAGCACATATACATGCCCGTCTGAAGTTTGCCAATGAACATCTGAATGATTCAGAGGACAACTGGGTGAAAGTGTTGTGGTCAGATGAGACCAAAATGGAGCTCTTTGGCATCAACTCAACTCGCGGTGTTTGGAGGAGGAGGAATGCTGCCTATGACCCCAAGAACACCATCCCCACCGTCAAACATGGAGGTGGAAACATTATGCTTTGGGGGTGTTTTTCTGCTCAGGGGACAAGAGAACTTCACCGCATCAAAGGGACGATGGACGGGGCCATGTACCGTCAAATCTTGGGTGAGAACCTCCTTCGCTCAGCCAGGGCATTGAAAATGGGTCGTGGATGGTTATTCCAGCATGACAATGACCCAAAACACACGGCCAAGGCAACAAAGGAGTGGCTCAAGAAGAAGCACATTAAGGTCCTGGAGTGGCCTAGCCAGTCTCCAGATCTTAATCCCATAGAAAATATGTGGAGGGAGCTGAAGGTTCGAGTTGCCAAACGTCAGCCTCGAAACCTTAATGACTTTGAGAAGATCTGCAAAGAGGAGTGGAACAAAATCCCTCCTGAGATGTGTGCAAACCTGGTGGCCAACTACAAGAAACGTCTGACCTCTGTGATTGCCAAAAAAAGTACTCAATCATGTTTTGCAGAGGGGTCAAATACTTAATTCCCTCATTAAAATGCAAATCAATTTATAACATTTTTGAAATGCGTTTTTCTGGATTTTGTTGTTGTTATTCTGTCACTGTTCAAATAAACCTACCATTAAAATTATAGAGTGATCATTTCTTTGTCAGTGGGCAAACGTACAAAATCAGCAGGGGATCAAATACGTTTTTCCCTCACTGTAAGTATGGTGGTGGAGGCTCGCGAAGGACGCTTCTGTTACTGGGCAGTTGGGAGTGTGTGCGGGTGTGTGTGGATGTGTGTGGGTGTGTGGATGTGTGCGGGTGTGTGTGTGTGGATGTGTGTGGATGTGTGCGGGTGTGTGTGGATGTGTGTGTGTGGGTGTGTGTGGATGTGTGTGGCTGTGTGCGCAAGACAACCTCCTACCTCCTCGTTGGTGCCAGACGGTCACGCTGTGGTGAGCAGTGCCATGCAAGGAGGACCAATTTCAATTGGCCATTCCCCTCATGGTGTTTGTAGCCACCACAGCGGCCAAAGGGGGCTCTGGACGGGTGCGAGGGGCTGGTAACCCCTCTAACTTCAACCCAAGTACCAATAAACTACATGAAAATAATCTAATTAAGCTTGTGCCGGAGGCCCCAGGGGGACAGGCATCTATGACTTCTCTTGGCCAAACCCCATTTGGTGGAGTCAGGAGACTGCATCCTTTGCCTCGGGGTTTCTCCAGAAACAACAAAAACCACTGTTAGTGGCCATGTGGAATGTTCAAATGCTCAATGTGGAGGAGAGGCTGCCAATCGCCTGTCGGGAGCTGGACCGGTACCGCCTAGATCTCTGCGGCATTCAGGAGGTCCGGTGGACTGGCTTATGCCACTATGAGGGGTGGACAGTCCCTTACTGCCAAACAACAGGATGTGGCTCTTCTTCTGAACATAAGAATGAAGGCACGTGGCGGTAAGATGTGGGAAGTTGTCAGGCCCAGGCTACTTTAGGCTTGCGTTTCCATCAACCTGAGGCGAGGAGTGGTGGTCGTCGTTACTTATGCCCCCACTGAAGACGAACATCAGCGGAGGAATTACAATCTGGTACAGACACAATGGGAGGCTGATCGATACCCTGGTGTGGTGAAAGGATGGCTTCCTATTGGTCAACCATGTTAAGTATGCCAATGAACTGGTGATTGCTGCTCACTCAGAGGAGGAGTTGGAGGTGCTGCTGCTGAACTTGGAGCGTGCCACCAATATGTGGGGCCTTACCATCAGCCCCACAGAAACTAAGCACCTGCCTGGGTATTTTGTGCCACCACCGCAACTCCGAATTGGTGATGGGGCAGTTGTAGAGAGAGTGGAAATACCTGGGCAGTGTGCTCATGACCGGCTTGGGTTTGACAGCAGAGGTCTCACTCCGAATTAGCCGAGCGGCATTATATTTTCATCGGCTGTGTAACGCTGTGTGGAAACTACTTGGTCTGTCGCTCCAAGCGAAGCTTCAGGTTTTATTTCGGCCACGGTCATTCCCTCCCTTCTCTATGTTTGTGAAACATGGACCCACCTAATGGAACATCTTCGCCGGTTAGAAACATTTAGGTTGGCCTGCCGACAATCCATCCTGGGTTTAACCAGGCTGGATTGTGTGAGCTCACAAATCCTTGAAAGATCTGGATAAAGTTATATTGGTGAGCTCTTCCAGCAGGCAAGGCTGCATTAGCTGGGTCTTGTTGCCCGCATGCCCAACCACCGCATACCTTAACAGCTTTTGTTCACCAAGATCGAGGGGGCTAAACGGGTGTGGCATGGGGTAGAGAACAGATGGAGTGATGTGGTACAGCAGGATGTGAAGATGAGAGGACTTGCCAATGACTGGTACCAGCGGTGTCAAGATCGGCCTCTGTGGAGGAGGCTCGTGAAGGACGCTACTGGGCAGTTGGAGGTAGTCGCTGAGGAGCGACGCTCACAACAACGGGCGGAGCGCCGGGTGGATAAAGCACAGCAAGTTGGCACAGTAAGGGGCACAGGTGGTGCATTTGTCAGTCATCTCAGTCAAGTGACCCATGGCACCTGCAGGGTCTGTCCCGTTACCTCCTGCCAGTGGGCCTTCGACATTTCACGTACATAGCCTGGCACAAAGGCCGTGGTGATGTCACCGCCACTTAGTGGTGAATGGCGGTTGTTGTTATTGTGCGGGTGTTTGTGGGTGTCTGTGGGTGGATGTGCAGGTGTGTGTGCGGGTGTGTGTGGGTGTTTGTGGGTGGATGTGCGGGTGTGTGTGCGAGTGTGTGTCAATGTCTTGGTGTCTGTGGAACAGTGGTGCGTTGCTCATGGTCACTAACACACCAGTGAAGATGATCTGAATAGAAACTGGGCCTCCCATAGGTCGATGCAGACTCAAATGAGTACCTTGTGCGGTGTATAAAATCATCACCACGGGGGAGACAAAGGCGGCCGGGCGTGGTGTTGGCCACCCACCCCCTCGTGTACTGTGCATGCTTTCATAGGTGCTCGCTAACAGCACTTTCCCCAACCGTGTGTTAAGGCTATCGGGGCTATCTTTGTCTTTGTGTGAGTGGGGAGCGGTGGGCGCAGTGAGGAGCGGACTCAGAGCCGGATTCAGGCACGGGGCTGTGGGGGGCTTCAGGCCAGGGGCCTCCTCCAGCTGGAGGGCCTCCAGAGATTAAGTGACAAGTTATTTCATTTGTGAATGCTGAATTTTATTTCTTGTTAGCCTTGTAAACATTCATGATATTTTTCTTTAATTTTTTTGAAAATATTACTGGAGGCCTCACGGTACCTGTAGCCCAGGGGGCCTTCAAAATCTTCATCCGGCCCCGAGCGCACTGCGCTTCGAGCCTCGCCATGAGGTTTGGGGCTGTAGTGCCACCTCTTGGAAGGCTAACAGAACTCTCATGTTCATCCCTCATACGGCCAGCATGAGAGAGAGAGAGAGACACCCAGACTCAGGGCTCGAACCCAGGCTCTCGGTGTCTGTGGGCCGTCTGCTAGAGGTGGCTGAGGTCATAGGGGAAGGTGAGGTCGCACCCTCTCATCTTCTCCGCGTACAGCTTGTCAAACCTCTCGCTCTGCTCCACAGTGAAGTAATTCTTCCAGTCTCCCACGGTGCCTGGCGGGGGGAGGGGCACGGTGGGAGGGGCACGGTGGGGGGTGGGGGAGGGGGAAGGTGGTGAGGGGGGGGGGTGCACGGTGGGGTGAGGGTCACGACCCATCACCTCGTGACCTTCACTCTCCGCACCTCCGATTAACGTGATTGGCTCCGTACGGTTGTGCTAAGGAGGTTCAACATACAACAACAACCGCCATTCGCCACTAAGTGGCGGTGACGTCACCACGACGCTTGTGCCAGGCTATGTGCACCCTGAGGCCACGTGAAGTGTCGAACACCCGCTGGCAGGAGGTCACGGGGCAGACCCAGGTGCCACGGGTCGACTGACTGAGATGACTGGCTGATGCACCACCTGTGCCCCCTACTGTGCCAACCTGCTGTGCTTTAGCCACCCGGCGCTCCGCTCGTTGTGAGCGTCGCTCCTCCGCCCTCCGTTGTTGTTGGAGGGCGACTGCCTCCAACTGCCCAGTAGCATCCTTCACGAGCCTCCTCCACAGAGGCCGATCTTGACACCACTGGTACCAGTCATCGGCAAGTCCACTCAGCTCCACGTCCTCCTGTACCACATCACTCCATCTCTTTTCTAGTCCGTGCCGCGCCCGCTTAGCCCCCTCGATCCGGCCGAACAAAAGCTGTCTCGGCATGCGGTGGCTGGGCATGCGGGCTACATGACCCAGCCATCGCAGCCTTGCCCGCCGGAGGAGCTCACCGATGGGACCTTGCCCAGATCTTTCAAAGATTTGTGAGCTCTTCACACAATCCAGTCTGGTTAAACCCAGGATGGATCGTAGGCAGGCCAGCCTAAATGTTTCTAACCGGCGAAGATGTTCCATTAGGGGGGTCCACGTTTCGCAAGCGTAGAGAAGGGAGGGAATGACCGTGGCCGAGAAGACCTGAAGCTTAGTGCGGAGCGACAGACCAGATAGCTTCCACACAGCGTTACGCAACCGATAAAAAGATATTGCCGCTCGACTGATTCGGAGTGAGACCTCGGCTGTTAAACTGGAGCCAGTCATAAGCACACTTCCCAGGTATGGGAAACTCTCCACTCTCTCCACAATTGCCCCATCACCGATTGGGAGTTGTGGGGGTGGAGTTTCCGATGCTGCAAAATACCCAGGCAGGTGCTTAGTTTTGGTGGGGCTGATGGTAAGGCCCCACCTCTTAGTGGCACGCTCCAGTCTAAGCAGCAGCGTCTCCAACTCCTCTTCTGACTGAGCAGCTATTACCAAATCATCAGCATACATAACGTGGTTGAGCAATAGGGAGCCATCCCTTGACCGCACCCGTGCATCGATCAGCCTCCCATTATATCTGTACCATATGGAGATTCCCCCGGCACAGCTATTGAAGGCTTCACGAACTACGTGGTCAAAATAGATATTAAATAATGTGGGAGCCAGAGGACATCCCTGTCGCACCCCAAGGTGTACAGGGAATGGCTCTGACTCCCGGCCACGTAGTTTTACCCGGGCCCGCTCACCATCATGAAGGTCCTTAATGATCGTGAGCAGAGGGTCAGGTACTCCAAAAGCAGGAAGAACGACCCAGAGCCCAGGCCTCCTGATGGTATCATAGGCCTTGACCAGGTCAATAAAGTAGAGATGTAGGTCTTGTAGGAATTCCCTACACCTCTGCTGTAGCAGACGGACAGAAAATATGGCATCTGTGCAGGACCGCCCTATCCTGAAACCGCAATGGGGCTCCGCAAGCCTCTCCTCAGCGTGCCTGGCAAGGCGATGCTGAATAATCCTTGACAGGACCTTTCCCGGCACACTGAGGAGTGAGATGCCCCTGTAGTTGTTAGAGTCTGTGCGGTCCCCCTTCTTAAAAAGGGGGACCACCAGGGCATCCTTCCAATCCTGTGGAACCCGTCCAGTGGTCCAGACTGTTGTTATGATCTCATATAGGGCAGTCTGTGCACAAACGCCACCCTCCCTCAGCATTTCGCTTGGGAGATCATCTCTGCCCGCTGCCTTTCCTGGTCTCAGACTCTGGATCGCCTTCAGTACTTCCTCAACAGATGGCACCTCAGCCAGCCACTCACAGGGGGTGAATTCTTCCAATATTTGAGGCACCGCAGCCTCAGCAGGGTCATCCTCACTTTGTGCCATGATGTTTTCCTGGCTGAGGGATTTTTCCTCCCCCAGGACCTCACAGAAATGCTCAGCAAATCTGCAAACCTGTTCCTGGGGGTCGGAGATTGGATCACCGTTCTTTCCCCTAATGATGGTAATAGGTGTGGCGCTGCAGGTTACTTTTTTGATGGAGTTAAATAGAGATTTGTGATCACGGGCCACTGAGGCAGACTCCATCTCCTCAGCAACCCGCGACCACCACCCATCCTTGCAGCACCTCACGGCTCTCCGAACCTCCGAGCGAAGGCTGCGGTAAGCCTCCTCATTCTTTGACGTGGGATTCTGTAGCCAATGACAGTGGGCCTGTCGCTTTTTCTCAACCATCCTGAACACCTCCTCTGTCAGCCAGGGTCTCTGGGGAGGTCTGGACCACGTACCCAAAGCAGCCATTGCAGCTGCATGAGTCACAGTCCTAAACCTCGCCCATTTACCCTCGACATCAGCAGGAGTCGGGGACGATGCCAATCCCAGCCGCAAGCGATGATGAAATTCTCGCTTGCAACTTTCATCAGATAACTGAGACCAGGCCACTTTAGGTCGGAATGGGGTCCTGGGTGTACACCCACCACCGGAGTGGAAGAATGGCAGGCGCATCTTACAGATGACTAGTCGATGGTCAGAGGGCAGATCAGCTCCACGGTAGGTCCTGGTGTCAAGGACATGGGCTCGCATCCGCTGGTCCGTCACTATGTAGTCCAGCAGATGTTCTTGCTTGGACCCGGCATGCATCCATGATGTTGTGTGGATGCGCCGATGCCGGAACAGCGTGTTGGTAATTACAAGCCCATGGGTTGCACAAAAATCTAGCAGCCTACTACCGTTGTTATTGAGCTGATCTGGTCCATGTCCTCCAATCACTCCAGTCCAGGTGCCAGTATCATGACCAACTCGGGCATTGAAGTCACCCAACATGATGACTCTATCCCGAGGGGCCACTTTAGCCAGCACCTGTGACAGGAGGTCATAGAAGGCATCTGACTCATCGGCTTTGCCTGCATCCCTCCACGGATGTTCATCTTCAGTGGGGGCATAAATAACCACGACCACCATTCCTCGCGTCCGGTTGATGGGAAGGCGAGCCCAAAGTAGCCTGGGGCTTACAGCTTCCCACACCTCACCGCCACGCTCCCACGCCCCCTTCATTCTTTTGTTCAAAAGAAGAGCCACACCCTGTTGTTTGGCAGTCTCCTGCCCCGAGTAGAAGACTGTCCACCCCTCATGGTGGCAGGAGCCAGAGCCGATCCAGGCGGTACCGGTCCAGCTCCCGACAGAGGAGTGGCAGCCTCTCCTCTGAAGTGAGAGTCCGAACATTCCACGTGGCCACCCGTAGTGGCTTTTCGTTGTTCATAGAGTAGCCCCGAGGGTAGGTATTCAATCTCCTGGCTCCGCCAATTGGGGTTTGGCCAGGAGACGTCATAGATGCCTGGCCCCCCGGGGCCTCCGGCACAAGCTTATTAGTTACATATTTCAGTTTAACTCGTGGTTTCGTGGTAATTAATTGAAGGTGGAGGGGTTACCAGCCCCTCGCACCCGTCCAGAGCCCCCGTTTAGCCCCTGTGGTGGACACATATGCCATGAGGGGAGGAGCCAATCAAAATTGGATCTCCCCCCACAGCACTGTCCACGACAGAGTTGCCCGTCCGGAACCGCGAGGAGGTAGGGGGTTGTTTTGCCAGACAGGTTCAACATACATACACATACACACACAGATACACACACACACATACACACACACATACACACACATACACACAGAGATACACACATACACACACATACACAAACATAGACACACATACACACACAGATACACACACAGATACACACAGATACACACACATACACACACATACACACATAGACACACATACACACATAGACACACACAGATACACACAGATACACACACATACACACGTAGACACACACATACACACATACACACATACACACACATACACACACATACACACATATATACACACACAGATACACACACATACACACACACATACACAAACATACACACATAGACACACATACACACATAGACACACACAGACACACACATACACACACATACACACACATACACACACATAGACACACATACACATACATACACACACATACACGAAGATACATACACATGCACACACATACACACACATATACACACACATACACAAACATACACACATAGACACACACACATACACACACATAGACACACATACACACACATACACACACAGACACACACAGATACACACATATGCACAACAACAGCCATTCGCCACTAAGTGGCGGTGACATCACCACGACGCTTGTGCCGGGCCATGTGCACCTTGAGGATCGTGAAGTGTCGAAACACACACACACATAGACACATAGACACACATGGTGCTGAAGGTTACTTTGTTGATGGAGTTAAAGAGCGATTTGTGATCGTGGGCCACTGAGGCAGACTCCATATCCTCAGCAACCCGTGACCATCACCCATCCTTGCAGCGCCTCACGACTCTCCGAACCTCCGAGCGAAGGCTGCGGTAAGCCTCTTCATTCTCCGACGTGGGATGCTGTAGCCGATGAGAGTGGGCCTGTCGCTTTTTCTTAGCCAGCCTGAACACATCCTCTGTCAGCCTTGGGTCTCTGGGGAGGTCTGGACCGCGTAGCCAAAGCAGCCATTGCAGCTGCATGAGCCACAGTCCTAAACCTCGCCCATTTCCCCTCGACATCAGGAGGAGTGGGGGACGATGCCAACCCCAGCCGCAAGTGATGATGAAATTATCGCTTGCAACTTTCATCAGATAACTGAGACCAGGCCACTTTAGGTTGGAATGGGGTCCTGGGTTTACACCCACCACCGGAGTGGAAGAATGGCAGGCGCATCTTACAGATGACAAGTCGATGGTCAGTGGGCAGATCAGCTCCACGGTAGGTCCTGGTGTCAAGGACATGGGCCTGCATCCGCTGGTCCGTCACTATGTAGTCCAGCAGATGTTCTTGCTTAGACCTGGCATGAATCCATGATTTTGTGTGGATGCGCCGATGTCGGACCAGAATTTTGGTAATTAAAAGCCCATGGGCTGCACAAAAATCGAGCAGCCTCCTACCGTTGTTATTGAGCTGATCTGGCCCATGCCTTCCAATCACTCCAGACCAGGTGCCAGCATCATGACCAACTCGGGCATTGAAGTCACCCAACAAGATGACTATCCCGAGGGGCCACTTTAGCCAACACCTGTGACAGGAGGTCATATAAGGCATCTGACTCATCGGCCTTGCCTGCATCCCTCCACGGATGTTCGTCTTCGGTGGGGGATATGTAACCAAGACCACCATTCCTCACCTCTGGTGGATGGGAAGGCGAGCCCAAAGTAGCCTGGGGCTTACAGCTTCCCACACCTCACCGCCATGCTCCCACACCCCCTTAATTATTTTGTTCAGAAGAAGAGCCACTCCCTGTTGTTTGGCAGTCTCCTGCCCCGAGTAGAGGACTGTCTCCCCGTCATGGTGGCAGGAGCCAGAGCCGGTCCACCAGACCTCCTGAATACCACAGAGATCCAGGTGGTACCGGTCCAGTTTCCGACAGGGGAGTGGCAGCCTCTCCTCCACAGTGAGCATTTGAACATTCCACGTAGCCAACCATAGTGGTTTTTTGTTGTTTCTGGAGGAGCCCTGAAGGTAAGACAGACAACAACAACAACCGCCGTTCGCCACGAAGTGGCTGTGAGCGTCGCTCCTCTGCCCTCTGTTCTTGCTGGAGGGTGAATGGTTCCAAATGCCCAGTAGCAGCGTTCTTCATGAGCCTCACAAAGAGACCCAAAGACTACTCACACGTAGACCCATAGAATACACACACAGAGACCCGTAGACTACTCACACAGAGATCCATAAACTCACACAGAGACCCATAGTACTCACCCAGAGACCCATAGATTAGTGACACAGAGACCCGTAGACTACTCACACAGAGATTCATAAACTCACTCAGAGACCCATAGACTACTCACACAAAGACCCGCAGACTACTCGCACAGAGATCCATAAACTCACACAGAGACCCATAGTACTCACGCAGAGACCCATAGATTAGTGACACAGAGACCCGTAGACTACTCACACAGAGATCCATAAACTCACACAGAGACCCATAGTACTCATGCAGAGACCCATAGACTAGTGACACAGAGACCCATAGACTACTCACACAGAGACCCGTAGACTACTCACACAGAGATATATAAACTCACACAGAGACCCATAGTACTCATGCAGAGACCCATAGACTAGTGACACAGAGACCCGTAAAAACTACTAACACAGAGACCCATAGACTACTCACACAGAGACCTATAGACTATTCACACAGAGACCCATCAACTACTCACACAGAGACCCATAGACTACGCACACAGAGACCCATAGACTACTCACACAGAGAACAATAGACTACTCACAAAGAGAACCATAGACTACTCATACAGAGACCCATAAACTCACACAGAGACTCATAGACTACTCACACAGAGACCCATAGACTACTCACACAGAGACCCATAGACTACTCACACAGAGACGCATGGACTACTCACACAGAGACCCATAAACTCACACAAAGACCCATAGACTACTCAGACTACGACCACCATCACCACCACCATCATCACCGTCACCTTTCCTCATGAAGGGCCCCTTGCTCAGGTCCACCAACCCCGCGGGCATCGCCTCGTAGTTGGTCATCTTGTTGACCCTCATGGAGGCGAAGGAGCAGTGGTGGACGATGGAGTCGATCGTGGAATCGTCCTGCGGCCGGTCGAGGAAGCGCGACACGCGGAGCACGCTGCCTCGCAGGTCCTACAACAGAGACCCGAGGGGTCGAGGGGGTCAAGGTGGACGAGGGGTCAAGGTGGACGAGGGGTCAAGGTGGACGAGGGGTCAAAGTGTTCCATGACTACATCGGCATTCATCTCCATGACCATTGATATCTCTACTGCGCCTCCCATTGTCACCACCACCTTCATCATCATCATCATCACCTCCACCGCCTCCATCATCACCACATTCATCATCACCTCCACGATCATCATCACCACCTCCATCACCACATTCATCATCACCTCCACCACCTCCATCATCACCACCTTCAACATCATTACCGCCATAACTGGACACACACGAGCACATGATTGTTGAGCCACGCTACAGGGGCTCATGTGGGTGGCGGGAACACGAGGCCCTTGCGGCGTCATCCATTGTCAGTTTGTGTGTGACTTTGTCCTTGGCTTCCCGTGGTCGATTGCACGGCGTCATCCCCTTCTCTGGCGTTAGCCGAGGCGGCTCTCCTTCCCCTTGGCGCGGTAGTCACCAAGTGCGTTCGAGGCCTCTGATTGGTGCAGGGAGGTTCTCAAAGAGGATTCGTCACCGGCCACACAATTGAACTGATTGGTTCAGAACGTGAAACGTAAAAGGCGGAAAGGATTCTCTAGGGACAAAAACGGAGGGGAGAGACGAGGAATGCTTGGGGAGAAGACGAAAAGATTTCCACAATCTTAAACAAACACAAGATCCAGGTTCGTTTCAACACAGTACACAACATCCGTGATTTAATCCCATCTGTAAAGGATGTGATTCCTGACATGCAATACCCTGGTGTCTGCAAATTGAGTTGTGGTTGCGGCAGCAGTAACATTGGGGAAATGAAATGACATGTTTCGGACCGCATTCGTGAACACAAGGCAGATCTGAAACACGGTAGGACCAATACCTCTGCCGTTACTGATCATTGTTTTAACGCTGTGGGCTCACACGAAATTGATTTTTCCAAAACGGAGGTACTCTGCAAACCCACCGGCTACCCTCAAAGATTTGTTCATGAAGCCATCCAGATGTATAAACACAGACACAACTTTAACCGAGAAGATGGGTACAAACTGAGCAATCATTGGAAGGATGTTATTAACCAGGTAAAGTCTTAACTGACTGTGATGTTTCCATCCTACCTGCTATGTCAGCTGTTATTTCCGACTCTCTGTGTGTCTCTCTCTATGCCTCTCTCTTAGATCTCTGCTGCTTACCCTCTTTTTCTACACTTACATGCTAATTTCTCACGTTAAGTTTAACACGTAGAAGGCTTTTGCGACCAATATCCATAATAAAGGTTTTTGGGTTAGATGGCGTTATTTATAAATGTGCCATAACCCTCCACCACCCGACACGGCCAATCAGCAAAAAAGTGTCACGTTGACAAAAGACAAATAGTTCACTACAACATTTACAGTTTGAGTACGACGTTTCGCTGGTAAGTACCTACATTAAAATTAAACGAGATCCAACTAATACTTTGGAACGTAAGACTACTGCAATAATTGCAAATTCATTAATCCCTAAGAATGAGCAATACCAAATTAAGCCAAGGGCCTCAAAACCACCTAGACTATATGGGCTACCAAAGATTCATAAAATCGGCATCCCATTACGATCCATAGTCAGTACAATTGGCTCTACCACATATAAATTAGCAAAATATATAACTAAACAAATACAGCCCAACATCGGTAGGACATCTTCATTCATAAGAAATTCAGAACATCTTGTGAATGTGATTAAAGATATTAAAATTAATCCTAGCGATAATCTGGTAAGTTTTGATGTGATTTCTCTATTCACTAAGGTTCCAGTGAACGAATCGCTTAAATTACTTGATACACTAGTAATGAATACAGGTTTACCAAAAAATATTCCGAAACTTGCTGACCATTGTTTAAATAACACTTACTTCTTATGAAGAGGGGATTTCTTTAAATAAAAGGAAGGAGCAGCAATGGGCTCTCCTTCATCCCCTGCTATAGCAAATCTGTACATGGAAAACTTTGAAATAAGAGCACTTGCCTCGAGCACATTAAAACCATCTTTTTGGTTTAGATATGTGGTTGACACATTGGTTGTCTGGCCACATGGTAAAGATACACTTAATGATTTTCTAAATCATCTCAATGCACAAAACGCAGCCATCCAGTTCACCATGGCAATGGAGGTGAATAACACACTCCCGTTCCTAGATATTTTGCTTGGACATGGCCTAAACGGTAAAATAACACACAGCGTTTACAGAAAGCAAACGCACACTGATGCCTATCTGAATGCAGATTCGCATCATCATCCAGCTCAGAAATCCTCTCTTATCAAGACGCTCGTACATTGGGCTAAAACAGTGTCAGATGGTGAAAGTCTAGTGAGAGAGATCAAACACGTTAAAGAAGCACTACGACAGAATGGCTACAATAATGCTCAAATTAACAGAGCACTGAATGCCAAATCACGATCTCAAAGCAATACTGCTGAAAGCGATCAGATTGTTAAAACAATTAAAATTCCATATATCTCAGGAGTAACTGACAAATTAGCCCGTATTTTGCAAAGCAAAACATTACAGTAAGAATTGGTACAGTACACAAAAATCAAAAACTAGTATCTTGCACTAAAGACGCATTACCTAAATTATCAATAGAAGGTGTATATCGGATTAATTGTTTATGTAGCAGATGCTATATTGGACAGACGGGACGTAACATCGGCATCAGACTAAAATAACATCAAAGAAATATTAAATTATCTCAAACACAACTGTCGGCAGTGGCAGAACATGCTTGTCAACAAGGACACCCAATTTATTTTAATAACGTTGAAGTGTTGTGTGAAACGAATTATTACTGGCAAAGGCTAGTTAGAGAATCCATTGAAATTGAGAGAAACAGAAATAACTTTAATCGCTCTGACAGCTACAGGCTTAGTGCGGCTTGGAAGCGTATTATTAAATAATACATATTACAATTCCTTATAGGGGAAACACATACTAATTAACGGATTACTAACGTAGCATATAATCACAATAACACACATTACAACTAATTGCTAATCTACAACTCATTACTAATCAAAACCATTGACTTATTACCAATCGACTATATTATTACAATACCCCCCCCCCCGCCTCAAATCACTGCACCTGAAATGAGTTAAATGATGACGTCACCCTGCTGCTGCTCTATTTAAGACCGTGAGCAAGTGGAGAGGGCTTCAACATTCTGGCGAATTGCCCGATGATGCTGGATGTAGTTACCAGCGGAACCCGTTCCCGTTCTTCCTGAAGTGCCACAGCGGCACACGTCGGCGTCCCGTGGACTCTCCGGCCACCCCGGGGTTTGCGGGGGCCCCAGGCCGGACGGCCGGGGGTGGCCTTGCTGCCGGAGGGTGGTGGGGGGATCTCACCGCAACGAGCGAATGGAGACGGCGGGGAAGGAGACGGGGACGCGGCGTGCGCCGAGGACCACGGAGGACGCCCGCGGGGCCGAGAGAGACCGGAGGGACGGCGCGGGCCAGCCCGGGGCGGGGGAGGCGACGGGGGAGGTGCGGCGAGGGAAGGGTGCGGGGATGGTGGATGGACCGGAGGGGGCAGGGGGGGGGGTAGGAGCGAAGAGGACGAGGAGAAACGTCGGAAGGCTGGGGAAGGAGCGCCCCCGAGCAGAGCGCAGGGGACGAAGCAGGAGGGATGCCATCAAGCCGGGGGCCGCGGGAGGGACAGAGGAGGGAGAGGACAGCGGACGCTGGTCCGGTGGGGGCGGGGAGACCCAGAGAAGGAGCGGGGAGGTGGCGCAGTGGAGCAGGGGCGGGCTTGACGCCAACGCACGCCAGGAGGCTCAACTGCGTCAGGATGGAGTTGAAGGACGACGTGGAGGAGGAGGTGACGATTGATAGAGCGACCTTCGTGAGGTCGGTGATGCTCGGGATGCTGCGGGTGGAGGTGGCGGACCTGTACTGTTTGATTGCTCTGCCGGGGGGGATGGCTTTTGACGTGAGCTTCACTTCGAGCCTCCTGCTGCAGAATTTCCTCACCCGCTTCGAGGAGAGGGCGGGGGAGAAGCATCTGGCATCCATGAGGACGCAGCTGCTGTCGGATCTGGAAACAAAGGTTGTGACTGTCTTCTTGCATAACGAGGCACTGCATGACCAGGACGTGGAGGTGTGGTTGAGGCAGCATTGCGTGCTACTATCCAACTGCAAGAGGGTGCAAGACTCTGTGGGGATATGGACCGGGGCCAGGCAATGGAGGGTGCGCCTGAAGATGGAGGGGGGGGGGGTGCTGAATCATATCCCGAGCGCCTTAAACATCGGGGGGAACGGGGTACGTGGTACACGCGGGCCAGCCCAAACTGTGTAGGAGGTGTGGGGGAAGGGGGCATCTGGCGGCAGCGTGCGAGGCACGGATCCGTTACAGGTGCAAGGCCCCGGATCACACGGTGGAGGAGTGCGGGGAGCCGGCCCAATGCAACCTCTGCGGTAGCAGAGGGCACCTGCGTAGGAACTGCTCGGAATCATCCGCCAACAGGGCGTGGGCGTACCGGGGTGGGCAGGAGGGGGAGGCGGTGGAGGCGGCGACCGGACGGGGATCGGACCGGGAGCTTGTGGGGGAGGGGGCAGAACCACCCCCCCCCCCCGGGGGGGGGGGGAGATGGAGGGAGATCTGCGGAGGGGGAAGCCACGACACCACCGGACCGGGAGGAGGGGGAGTAGGTGGAGGAGGGGAGGGAAGGCGAGGGAGATGCCCCAGGAATCCCCGTGGTGGACTGGGCAGAGGCAATGGGCGAGGAGGAGGAGGGCGAGAGGGAGCAACGGGTGGAGGAAGGAGCAGAAGGGGCGTGGGAGGAAACGACGGGGAGGAAGAGGACATTGGACGGAGCCCTAAAGGGGACTGGCCCCCAGCACGACACGGATCGTTCAGGCTCCTCACCGGACACGGAGGAGTCTGGGTGGAGGAGGACAGAAGGAGGGGGGCGTTTGAACCGGGGGAAGCCCCGGAGGTCGAGGGGGAGGAAGAATGTGCGGGAGAAGGTGGACAAGGACGATTGCGGGGAGCGCGCAACAGAGTCGGAGACGGAACAAATTACACTCCGGCATGGACCTCTCGGCGGCGTCCATTAACGTGAGAGGAATGAAGGGGAAGGGAAGGAGGGGAGCAATTATGCAACTGTTAAAAGCCACCAGAAGGGACGTGACCTTCCTTCAAGAGAGCCACCTACCGTACACCCTGGGTTCAGAAGACCTGCTGGAAGATCGGGACGGCCACTGCTTTTGGTCGGGTAGTAACGGGAATCGGTGCACTGGGGTAGTTACCCTCCTAGGCAGGAGGGGATTGAAGGGTGGAGGGAACCCAAGAGATGATCCCGGGCCGACTCCTTTGTGTGGACGTGTCCTACCGAGGCGTGGAACTGAGGCTGGTGAATGTGTACGCCCCGGTACGATGCATGGAAAGGGCAGAGTTGTGGGATAGCTTAGCGACCCTACTGGTTACTAGGCGACAAGTCATCGTAGGCGGAGACTTCAACTGCCCGCTATACTTAACGGACCTGGTGTCGGCAAAGGGGAGGAGGAAACTGGACTCTTCCTCCAGAAAGCTGAGAGAACTGATGGCGGACCTCGGCATGATTGACGCTTTCAGGAGGGTGCATGGTGCAAGGCCCGGGTACACATGGTCGGACAGAAGAGGGGGAGCGCAGTCGCGGATAGACTTTATCTTCGCCTCTGCCAAAGTAGAAGTGGAGAGTGCGGGGGTGGAGCCGTTCTCCCTCTCGGACCACAACATGGTCGTGGCAGGGCTCGCGATCCCAGGTGGGGCGAGGAGAGGAGAAGGGATGTGGAAAATGAACGTGGGTCTATTGGATGACAAGAAAGTGGTGGGGGAGTTTGTGGAAAAATACAACGACTGGAGGACCTTGCAGGACTGTTTCCCCACGAGGGTGGAATGGTGGGGCCAGGTGAAGGGCAGGGTGAAAGCGTTTTTCCAGTACCATAGTAGGAGGAGGGGAGTGAACAGGGAGTTGAGGCAGTGAAATGCCAGGCTGGAGAGGATGTACAGGTTGCTTGAGCTAGACTTCCCAATGGGGGAAAGGATAGAGGAGTTGAAAGGGAGGGTAGCCTCAGTGTTGGAAAGGAGAGCTAGGCAGCTAGTGTACAGGGCGAGGGTTAGGGCAACGGAGGAAGGGGAGAAGTGCACGAGGTTCTTCTTCAAAGCAGGTAGGGAGGGGGATAACGCAGTTAGGGAATTGGTAAGCCCTGCCAGGGGCAGGCAGACGACGACGGCAGGGATGATGAGCGTAGCGGAAGACTTTTATAGGGAGCTTTACCGGAGGAAAGGGACAGATGGGGGGAAGCAGAAGGAGTTGCTGGGGGCACTGGGGAGGAGGATTGGGAACTTGGAGCCACTGGGGGAGAAGATCCGGCAGGGAGAAGTGGAAGGGGCGGTAAAGGGGCTGAATAGGAATAGAACCCCGGATGGTATCCCAGCGGAATTCTACGTCAAGTTATGGGAGCTCCTGAAGGAGGACATGCTGCAAATCTGTAGGGAGACTTTAGAGGGGGGCCGGGTGACGGACGATATGCGGGAGGGTTTAGTTACGCTGATTTATAAAGGGAAGGGGGATCGCAAGGACTTGGGAAGCTGGCACAAATTACACTCCTAGACACGGACTACAAGATTTTAGCAAGGATAGTCGTGGCGCGATTAGGGGAGGTGGTGGGGGGGGGGGGGTGGTAGAGCCGGATCAGACGTGCGCGGTCCCGGGGAGGAGGATCGCGGACTCTCTGGTGGTGCTGGGGGAGGCCATAGAAGGGGAAAGACAGAGGGGGTGTCCACTGGGGATTCTGAGTTTGGACTTGGACAAAGCCTTTGACCGTCTTTCGCATGAGTATATGCCGGCAGTGATGGAGAGAATGGGAATGAGTGGGCCCCTGGTGGAGTGGGTGGCACGGCTCTACGGTGGGCTCAGGGCTAGGATTTTGATCAGAGTGGAGTCCGGGGTGCGGCTGGGGTGCCCGATGTCCCCGGTCTTGTTCGTCATGAGCATGGAACCTCTTGCGCAGACAACAAGGGATAACCAAAGGATTAGGGGGGTGACAATCCCGGGCAACAAGGAGCAAGGGAAAGTGACTTGGTACATGGACGACGTGGCCGTGCTGTGCAGGGACGCTGCGTCGGTGTGGAGAGCTATGGAGGAGACAGGGCGGTTCTGTGCGGCCTCCGGCTTGAAGGTCAACGCGAGGAAGAGCAAACTCATGGCCTTTGGGGACTAGAGGTTGTTCGAGGGTCGGCCGCCAGAGTTGAGGCTGCAGACGGAAGAGATCACAGCGCTGGGGGTGACCTTCTGTAGGGATAGATCAGCGGAACGTAACTGGGAGAAAAGGATGAGGAAGGCGAAGGGACGTTTGGGTAAGTGGGCAGGGAGGCGGCTCACGATGGCTGGGAGGATCATGGTGATGAAAGGTGGAGATGCTGCCAACGCTAAACCACCTGGCGCAAGTATTCCCACCTGGTAGGAGGGAGGTCAAGGCCTTGACGACGACGCTATTCGGATTTATCTGGGGGGGAGGGATGGAGAGGGTTAGGAGGGCCGTGCTGTGCATGCAGGTCGGGAACGGGGGGAGGGGCGCCCCAAATGTGGAGTACAACCTGACCACGACCTTTGTGTGTAACGCGCTGAGACTGTTCTTCTCCGCAGAGCCGCGAGGCAAGGCGGCGTGCTACACGAGGTATCGCCTGACGTGGCTCCTGCGGGGCCTCGGGCTGACCCAGGCCGAGAGGAGCACACCCTTGGACCGGCCGGGGGGCCGGCTGAGTGACGTGGTGGGGGGCTACGTGGGGCAGCACGGCCTGAACCGGTGGGGGGGGGGCCGGTGGAGCCCCAGAGAGGTGCGGGCCGAGGCGGAGAAAGGGGAGGCCTGTGAGGAGGTGCCAGGGGCGAGGAGGGCGGTACACCGGCAAATCTGGAGGAACGTGTCGTTGGCGGCACTCACAAAGGAACAGAGGGAGCTGTCCTGGCTGGCGGTCCGGGACGAACTGGGGCCGAGGGGCTTCATCTACGCCCGCCAAATGGCGCGCACCCCCCAAGTGCCCGAGGGGCTGCAACGGGGACGAGAGCGCAGTACACGTGATGGTGGCGTGCCCCTTCGCCCAGGAGGTGTGGAGGCGGAGCGGACCGTTGCTGGCCCGGTTCGCCCCGTCGAAGGCGACAACGTGGGACGTTATGTGGGGGGAATTGCGGGGAGAGCCAGGGGAGGACAGGGACCGGGGCGTGGGCCATGATAGGCGACAACAAAGGAGGCCTCGTGGAAGGCGCGCAAGAAGGATCTGGAGGGGTCCCAGATGTCCCCTTGGGAAACGTGCCACGTGGCGAGGAGGTTGTTGGAGAGGGTGGTGGAGGTGGCCCGGGTGAGGCTGGGACAGAAAGCCGCACGGGAAAAGTGGAAGTGGCCGCTGCCCAGGGTGGGTTAGGGCGGCCTGAGATGTGGGGGGGGCCGTTACCGGCGCCCGGGGGCGACGTCGCGCATGGCTGGAGGGGCGGGGCAGCCCCTCCATGCACAGATGTGACTCAGCGCTGTGTCGGGGGGTGATTCCGGTCTCGCGGACGAGTCGGTGGCCGGGTGGGGCCTTCGCGGCGTGCGGGAGAGGGCGGCCCCTCGATCTTTGTTTTCTTTTTGTTCTCTCCGCTGTGAAACTGAATACATTTTTTTTTTAAATCGTAATTACCAGCGAAACGTCGTACTACTCAAACTGTAAATGTTGTGGATTCACTCTTCAGCACGCCGTTGGGCTAAAGTAGTGAACTATTTGTCTTTTGTCAACGTGACACTTTATTTGTTCTCACATTAACATCGCTAGCCCCAGCCACTGCGTTGTGACCCGTGGGCTACACCCATTCCAAACCTTTAAAAACAGTCTGGCTCAGCAGCAGCAGCAGCAGGCCACGGCTTTCCCACCTGATGACGGACGCTTGTTGTGTTGCGCCCGAAACGTCGTGATTTATTGTATTGTATGCCTACTACGTGGTGACTTCACCGACAGAACCAAAGAGTATAGAAGACGAAGTTCAAGCCTCGTGAGCCCCAAGTAGCGTTGTGCCCAAAATCAAGGCTCTTTGTGACACAACAACGCCTGTCAGCGTCACGATTCTCATACCGCTGCTGATGATGATGATGCTGCTGCTGATGCCGCTGATGATTATGATGGTGCTGATACTAATGATGCCACCGCTGCTGCTGCTGATGATTATTCTGCCACGGATGCTGATGCTGCTCATAATGCTGCTCCTGCTGCTATATTATGCTGATGTTGATGCTGTTGCTACTGCTGATGATGCTGGTGATTACCTTGATCAGCTCTTCGTAAGTCACGAAGAGAAAGTTGGCCTTGTGTCTCATCTCGTACCATTCCCGCACGTGCTTGAACCACGTCTCAGAGTTGTCTTTCGCTGCCATAGCGGAAGGGCAACAACAAAGAGACACAAAAGACAAAGATCCCCCGTGTAGCCTCTAACATGTTGTAGGGGCAACATCATTGCCAACACTACCATCATCACCACCACCATCATCACCACCACCATCATCACCACCACCACCATCATCATCACCACCACCACTACCACCACCATCATCACCACCACTACCACCACCATCATCACCACCATCATCACCAAGATCATCATCACCACCACCATCATCACCACCACTACCACCACCATCATCACCACTATCACCTCCATTATCTGGTGCAGTGTGCAAACATCGCCAATGGAGAGACAAAGACGTCCAGGCGTGGTGCTGGCCACCCATCCCCTCGTGTGGCACAGTGACGGTCTTCATAGGCGCTGCTGCTACTCGCTAACAGCACTCGCCCCTACATCCTGTAGGTAAGTGTGAGTTAGTGTGGTTGAGTGTGTGAGAGTGAGTGGAGTTTGTATGATCTCCTCCTGTTCTACAGAGTGAGTGGAGTTTGTGTGATCTCCCCCTGTTCTACAGAGTGAGTGGAGTTTGTGTGATCTCCCCCTGTTCTACAGAGTGAAAGTGAGTGGAGTTTGTGTGATCTCCCCCTGTTCTACAGAGTGAGTGAGTGGAGTTTGTATGATCTCCCCCTGTTCTACAGAGTGAGTGGGGTTTGTATGATCTCCTCCTGTTCTACAGAGTGAGTGGAGTTTGTGTGATCTCCCCCTGTTCTACAGAGTGAGTGAGTGGAGTTTGTATGATCTCCCCCTGTCATTCAGAGTGAGTGGAGTTAATATGGTCTCCCGCTGTTCTACAGAGTGAGTGGAGTTTGTATGATCTCCCCCTGTTCTACAGAGTGAGAGTGAGTGGAGTTTGTATGATCTCCCCCTGTTCCACAGAGTGAGTTGAGTTTGTATGATCTCCCCCTGTTCTAAAGAGTGAGTGAGTGGAGTTTGTGTGATCTCCCCCTGTTCTACAGAGTGAGTGAGTGGAGTTTGTGGGATCTCCCCCTGTTCTACAGAGTGAGTGAGTGGAGTTTGTGTGATCTCCCCCTATTTTACAGAGTGAGTGGAGTTTGTATGATCTCCCCCTGTTCTAAAGAGTGAGTGGAGTTTGTATGATCTCCCCCTGTTCTAAAGAGTGAGTGAGTGGAGTTTGTGTGATCTCCCCCTGTTCTACAGAGTGAGTGAGTGGAGTTTGTGGGATCTCCCCCTGTTCTACAGAGTGAGTGAGTGGAGTTTGTTTGATCTCCCCCTGTTCTACAGAGTGAGTGAGTGGAGTTTGTGTGATCTCCCCCTATTTTACAGAGTGAGTGGAGTTTGTATCATCTCCCCCTGTTCTAAAGAGTGAGTGGAGTTTGTATGATCTCCCCCTGTTCTAAAGAGTGAGTGAGTGGAGTTTGTGTGATCTCCCCCTGTTCTACAGAGTGAGTGAGTGGAGTTTGTTTGATCTCCCCCTGTTCCACAGAGTGAGTGAGTGGAGTTTGTGTGATCTCCCCTTATTCTACAGAGTGAGTGGAGTTTGTATGATCTCCCCCGTTCTAAAGAGTGAGTGAGTGGAGTTTGTGTGATCTCCCCCTATTCTACAGAGTGAGTGAGTGGAGTTTGTGTGATCACTGTGATCACTGTATAGCCCACCAGCTGTTTAGATAGACATCACTGTATAGGCCACCAGCTGTGTAGGTAGACATCACTGTGATCACTGTATAGTCCACCCAGCTGTGTAGATAGACATCGCTATGATCACTGTATAGTCCACTAGCTGTGTAGATAGACATCACTGTGATCACTGTAAAGTCCACCAGCTGTGTAGATAGACATCACTGTGATCACTGTATAGTCACCCAGCTGTGTAGATAGACATCACTGTGATCACTGTATAGTCCACCAGCTGTGTAGGTAGACATCACTGTGATCACTGTATAGTTACCCAGCTGTGTAGATAGACATCGCTATGATCACTGTATAGTTACCCAGCTGTGTAGATAGACATCACTGTGATCACTGTATAGTTACCCAGCTGTGTAAATAGACATCACTGTGATGACTGTAAAGTCCACCAGCTATGTAGATATACATCACTGTGATCACTGTAATGTCCACCAGCTGTGTAGATAGACATCGCTATGATCGCTGTATAGTCAACCAGCTCTATCGTCAATGAGCGCTTAGTAACCTGTGACTGTCATTAAAGTTGTAGCTGTTAGCCGATCAGAAATAAATAAGAAGCCCGTTAAAGTTCGTGTCTCTGAAGTCATTACGTTACACTTGTAGTGGGTGATGATGGTGATAATGATGCTGCTGCCGACGATGATGATGATGGTGATTGGAGACCAACCTTGATCTTCGAGGTATATCTCAACGTATGTTTCGAAATCGCCAGGGTCTGGAATGTGGCAGGAGATTTTGCAGAATTCGTATAAGGACACCAATGTGTCCTTGGGATTCCTTGCCAAGTAAATGACCTAGCCGGTTCACACATCAGAGAATCGTGGTCACGATCGTCGTCGTCATCATCATCAGCAGAATAATCATCAGCAGCATAATCATCATCAGCAGAATCATCATCATCATCAGCAGCAGATTCATCAGCAACAGCAGAATCATCATCAGCAACAGCGGAATCAATGTTCTATAATTATCATTCACATCAGGACAGGGCCACTGTGAGCCCCGCTGTGAGAGATAGACAGAGAGAGACACAGGGAGAGACAGAGAAAGAGACCGAGAGAGAGAGAGAGACAGGGACAAAGACAGTGAGACAGACAGAGATACAGAGAGAGAGAGACAGGGAGAGAGAGAGAGAGAGACAGAGAGAGACAGGGAGAGAGAGACAGAGAGAGAGAGACAGGGAGAGACAGGGAGAGAGAGACAGAGAGAGACAGGGAGAGAGAGAAAGAGAGAGAGAGACACAGAGAGACAGACAGAGAGAGACAGGGAGAGAGACAGGGAGAGAGAGAGAGACAGAGAAAGACAGACAGAGACACGGCCACCCACGAGTCCCGGCCTCACCTTGCCCTTGCCGCCCTCTGTGAGCTGCTGTGGGGCCAGGTGGAGCTGCAGGTGCGTGGTCATGAGCCGGGGTGAGGGCTGCAGCTCGAGCTGCTGCTGCTTGAAGGCACCCTCCAGGTAGGGGGCCCTCGCCCAGGTGCACGACGCCGCCACCGCCTCCAAGTCCCCGTCGCTCAGGAGCAGGCTCACAATCTCCTGCATCCACGTGGTGCCTGTGGGGGTCAGGGAGAGAGGTAGAGAGAAGTAGCAAGACAGAGTGGTGGACAGAGAGCTTCGGAGAGACTTTTGACTTTTAAACCACTTTTATTGCCGCCAGCAGCACCAGCAAGCACAGCACACAAAAATAAACGCCACATGGTGGTGGTATTCCTGCATGCCACGCCGATGACCGAGCGTTCAAAGAAGACGCACGCGTCACCGGCATGTGAGTGGTACATTTGCTCCTTGAGCAGGCCCACGAACACTGGAACCACAGAACAGCCATCAGTATCGCCTTGCGACATCGTTTTCCTCGTCTTGTACACCGCCATCTTCGCTTGAGCGCAGAGAGGGAGAGCGAGGTGATGGCGCTTGTTAGGCAGGTAAAGCACCCCATTTACGAAGCTGCTGTTGTAGAAGGGCACCTCCGATTTCCTGAAAATGGTCCACCAAAAGACGGAACATTGGATTGAGTCGCTGGCAGTGTAAGTAGGGGGCAGATCCTATCTGGCACCGCAGAAAGTGCACAAATCTGTTATTCCCGGCGAGATTCGGCTGAGCGACACGGCCGATGGCAACGTGCAGTGTGCCAATCTCCACCGGAGGTCACCACAGCGTTTGGCTACGGGAGACTTTGTACATGTGTAGTGGAGTAAACAATACGCATAGGAATTGGCCACATACAATACATACAGACAGACAAGGAGAACGGGTCACTTGAGGTCGAACAGGTAGTCGAGTCGCGGGTGGCGTAAACAACCCGAAGTAATTAAGGGAGTCGTGGCACGAGGGCTGTGATTGGTCGAGAGGCTGTTAGTGTTAAGTGGTGGCGTCTGGATGTCTGATGGAGGGGACAGGTGCGAGCTGGCGGGAAACGGCCAGCGAGCCACGTGGCAATTAATTAAGGCTAATGCGAAAGGGGATAAAACGCGAGGTGATTTGAATGGAGTGGAGTTGCTGCTTGGGAGTTGTTGTTGGAGAGTTGTTGCTGGGCAGTTGTTGGCGAGATACGAAGAAGACAGCTGGCAATGTTAGGGAAGAATAGATAGAGAGCCGGACCCCCAAGACAGTAAATAGCGATAGGGTGAGTCAGCGTTAGCGGAGATAGAGTCACTGTGTGTGAATAGATAGATGGAGTCACTGTGTGTTAATAGATAAATGAGGTCACTGTGTGTGAATAGATAGATGAGGTCACTGTGTGTGAATAGATAGATGGAGTCACTGTGTGTGAATAGATAGAAGGAAAGTCACTGTGTGTGAATAGACAGACAGGATAAGGTGTGTGAAGAGATAGAGGAAGAACCACTGTGTGTGGAAGGAAAGTCACTGTGTGTGAATAGACAGACAGGATACTGTGTGTGAATAGAAGAAGAACCACTGTGTGTGGAGGGGAAGTCACTGCGTGTGAAGAGATAGCGGCGATACTGTGTGTGAGGAGATAGAAGACGAACCACTGTGTGTGGAAGGGTAGACACTGTGTGTGAAGAGATAGGCGAAGAAACACTGTGTGTGGAAGGGGATGCACGGACGATGCTGAAGTAAATCGGAGTGTCCGAGTTGGCGGAGCACGGAGAGAATTACTGTGTGTACGGAACGATGGAATAAAAGTGATGGCGGAAAAAGAGACGGTTGTCATCCGAGTGAATTCACGGCACTACACAGGTAACGAGCTGAGATTAGGAACACACTCTTAAAGGGAGTGCTCCTAATCTCAGCTTGTTACCTGTATAAAAGACACCTGTCCACAGAAGCAATAAATCAATCAGATTCCAAACTCTCCACCATGACCAAAGAGCTTTCCAAGGATGTCAGGGACAAGATTGTAGACCTACACAAGGCTGGAATGGGCTACAAGACCATTGCCAAGCAGCTTGGTGAGAAGGTGACAACAGTTGGTGCGATTATTCGCAAATGGAAGAAACACAAAAGAACTGTCAATCTCCTTCGTCCTGGGGCTCATGCAAGATCTCACCTCGTGGAGTTGCAATAATCATGAGAACAGTGAGGAATCAGCCCAGAACTACACGGGAGGATCTTGTCAATGATCTCAAGGCAGCTGGGACCATAGTCACCAAGAAAACAATTGGTAACACACTACGCCGTGAAGGACTGAAATCCTGCAGCGCCCGCAAGGTCTCCCTGCTCAAGAAAGCACACATATACATGCCCGTCTGAAGTTTGCCAATGAACATCTGAATGATTCAGAGGACAACTGGGTGAAAGTGTTGTGGTCAGATGAGACCAAAATGGAGCTCTTTTGCATCAACTCAACTCGCCGTGTTTGGAGGAGGAGGAATGCAGCCTATGACCCCCAGAACACCACCCCCACCGTCAAACATGGAGGTGGAAACATTTTGCTTTGGGGGTGTTTTTCTGCTAAGGGGACAGGGAAACTTCACCGCATCAAAGGGACGATGGACTGGGCCATGTACCGTCAAATCTTGGGTGGGAACCTCCTTCGCTCAGCCAGGGCATTGAAAATGGATCGTGGATGGGTATTCCAGCATGACAATGACCCAAAACACACAGCCAAGGCAACAAAGGAGAGGCTCAAGAAGAAGCACATTAAGGTCCTGGAGTGGCCTAGCAAGTCTCCAGACCTTAATCCCATAGAAAATGTGTGGAGGGAGCTGAAGGTTCAAGTTGCCAAACGTCAGCCTCGAAACCTTAATAACTTGGAGAAGATCTGCAAAGAGGAGTGGGACAAAATCCCTCCTGAGATGTGTGCAAACCTGGTGGCCAACTACAAGAAACGTCTGACCTCTGTGATTGCTAACAAGGGCTTTGCCACCAAGTACTAAGTCATGTTTTGCAGAGGGGTCAAAAACGTATTTCCCTCATTAACATGCAAATCAATTTTTGACATGCGTTTTTCTGGATTTCATTGTTGTTATTCTGTCTCTCACTGTTCAAATAAACCTTCCATTAATATTATAGACTGATCATTTTTTTGTCAGTGGGCAAACGTACAAAATCAGCAGAGGATCAAATACTTTTTTCTCTCACTGTAGGTAAAGACTTAGAGAGAGAGACACCCAGACCCAGGGCTCGAACCCAGACTCTAAGTATCTCTGACACGGCCATCGTGAACCGCCTGAGAGAGAGAGAGACCCAGACCCAGGGCTCCAACCCAGTCTCTCAGTGTCTCTGACACGGCCATCGTGAACCCCCTGAGAGAGAAACAGACACCCAGACCCAGGGCTCGAACCCAGACTCTCAGTGTCTCTGACACGGCCATCGTGAACCCCCTGAGAGAGAGAGACACCCAGACCCAGGGCTCCAACCCAGACTCTCAGTGTCTCCGACACGGCCATCGTGAACCCGCTGAGAGGGAGAGAGACACCCAGAACCAGGGCTCCAACCCAGACTCTCAGTGTCTCTGACACGGCCATCGAAAACCCCCTGAGAGAGAGAGACACCCAGACCCAGGGCTCCAACCCAGACTCTGTGTCTCCGACACGGCCATCGTGAACACCCTGAGAGAGAGAGAGAGACACCCAGACCCAGGGCTCCAACCGAGACTCTCAGTGTCTCCGACACGGCCATCGTGAACCCGCTGAGAGGGAGAGAGACACCCAGAACCAGGGCTCCAACCCAGACTCTCAGTGTCTCTGACACGGCCATCGAAAACCCCCTGAGAGAGAGAGACACCCAGACCCAGGGCTCCAACCCAGACTCTGTGTCTCCGACACGGCCATCGTGAACACCCTGAGAGAGAGAGAGAGACACCCAGACTCTCAGTGTCTCCGACACGGCCATCGTGAACCCCCTGAGAGGGAGAGAGACACCCAGAACCAGGGCTACAACCCAGACTCTCAGTGTCTCTGACAAGGCCATCGAAAACCCCCTGAGAGAGAGAGAAACCCAGACCCAGGGCTCCAACCCAGACTCTCAGTGTCTCCGACACGGCCATCGTGAACCCCCTGAGAGAAAGAGATACCCAGACCCAGGGCTCAAAACCAGACTCTCAGTGTCTCTGACACGGCCATTGTGAACCCCCTGAGAGAGAAAGACACCCAGACCCAGGGCTCCAACCCAGACTCTCAGTGTCTCTGACACGGCCATCGTGAACCCCCTGAGAGAGAGAGACACCCAGACCCAGGGCTCCAACCCAGACTTTCAATGTCTCTGACATGGCCATCGTGAACCCCCTGAGAGAGAGAGAGAGAGAGACCCAGACCCAGGGCTCCAACCCAGACTCTCAGTGTCTCTGACACGGCCATCGTGAACCTCCTGAGAGAGAGAGAGACACCCAGACCCAGGGCTCAAAACCAGACTCTCAGTGTCTCCGACACGGCCATCGTGAACCCCCTGAGAGAGAGAGAGAGACACCCAGACCCAGGGCTCCAACCCAGACTCTCAGTGTCTCTGACATGGCCATCGTGAACCCCCTGAGAGAGAAACACCCAGACCCAGGGCTCCAACCCAGACTCTCAGTGTCTCTGACACGGCCATCGTAAACCCCCTGAGAGAGAGAGAGACAGACACCCAGACTCTATTGTGTTTGTTGTTATTGTGACTTTCTGACCTTCCCCTACTGGGTATCTGTGACAAAGATCTTGACGGCTCATCACTCCAGTATATAAATAATCTTCTGATTCTGACACTGGGACACCTGCGGCAAAGAGCTTCATGGCTCATGGGATTTCCTCGCTCCTCCTGACCCTGGTGGTAGACTCGGGGCGTCGCAGGGAGTCTCTCACCGGACTTGGCATAGGTGGCGATGAAGACGTCGTCATTCCGCACGTGCAGGGAGCGAACCCGCAGGACGGACTCGGGGGTACAGAGCGGAGAGATGAACTGCATGCCTCCCACCTCGAACAGCCCCGAGGCCGGAACGTCGGTCGACATGGCCCCCCTTAAACTCCAAAGGATAATTGTGAACACATGCACGCATACACACACACGCAGCAGAGACCAATAGACTCATCACACAGCAGAGACCAATAGACTCATCACACAGTAGAGACCCATAGACTCATCACACAGCAGAGAACCATAGACTCATCACACACAGAGACCCATAGACTCATCACACACAGAGACCCATAGACTCATCACACAGCAGAGACCCATAGCTCATCACACAGCAGAGACCCATAGACTCATTACACAGTAGAGACCCATAGACTCATCACACTGCAGAGACCCGTAGACTCATCACACTGCAGAAACCCATAGACTCATCACAGCAGAGAGCCATAGACTCATCTCACCGCAGAGACCCATAGACTCATCACACAGCAGAGACCCATAGCTCATCACACAGCAGAGACCCATAGACTCATCACACAGCAGAGACCAATAGACTCATCACACAGCAGAGACCCATAGACTCATCACACAGCAGAGACCCATAGACCAACTCATACAGCAGAGACCCGTAGACTCATCACACAGATACCTATAGTTTTGGGGTATCTGTGCAAGTCTACGGTCTCTGCATGAGTCTATGAATTTCCATGGATTTCACAATCCCGCGTGCTCACCTCTCTTCCTCTCTCTCTCCCTGTGGGTGACTTTAACACTGGGACCAGAGTCTAACCTCGACTCTCCTAGGGTTAAGGACGCTGCTGTGCGTTGTGTGTCCCTGTCCTATATAAGAAGTCCGTGGCAGTGAGCTCCGCCCTGCGGCACTCAAGCGGATCGGGGGAGTAGCCACGCGCTGTGCATCAGGTGCTCTCAGGCCATGACCAAGACCTTCGAACCCAGAGATCAATGCCACTGTTAAATTATTTCAAGAGACCTTGGAACTTGTATCTTTGTGCAACTCAATCACCCACTCACCAACTTACTCAACTCACTCACTCACCCAGCCACTCACTATCTCACCCACTTACCCACTCATTCACCCATTCAATCATCCACTCACCATCTTACTCACCCACCCACCAACTATTTTCCTCGCTCACCTGCTCACCATCTCACTCCAATACCAATGCTCGCCATTCACCACTAAGTAACGGTGACATCACCATGGCGCTGTGCCAGGCCAGGTGCACTTTGAGGCCACGTGAAGTGACGAAGTCTCGCTGACAGGAGGACTCGGGCTCAGACGCAGGTGCCATGGGTTGGCTGAGATAACTGGTGGATGCACCTCCAGCTGTACCCTCTACTGTGCCAACTTGCTGCGCTTTAGCCGCCCGGCGCTCCGCTCGTTGTTGTGAGCGTCGCTCCTCTGCCCTGCGTTGTTGCTCGAGGGGCGACTGCCGCCAACTGCCAAGTAGCAGCGTCCTCACGAGCCTCCTCCATCTCACTCACTCCCCCACTCACTCAATCACCCACCCACCCACACACCCACCCACCCACCAACCCACTCCCCCACTCACTCACCCACCCACTCACCCAGTCACCCAACCACTCACCCACTCACTCACTCACCCACCCACCAATCCACTCACCCACCAACCCACTCACCCACCCACCCAGTCACCCACCCACTCACCCAGTCACCCACCCACTCACCCACACACCCCCCCAGTCACCCACCCACCCAGTCACTCACTCACCCACTCACCAACCCACTCATTCACTCACCACCCACTCACCAACCCACTCATTCACTCACCACCCACTCACCAACCCACTCATTCACTCACCACCCACTCTTTCATCCACCTACCTACTCAGAAGCCCACTAAATCACCTACTCACCATCTCTTTCACCCACCCACTCACCCACCCACTCACTCACGCACCCATCCACCCACTCATCATCTCATTCACTCACCTGCCCACCTATTCAAGCACTAATTCATTCAACCACTCACCATCTCACTGACAAACCCACTCACTCACCCACTCACCATCTCGCTCACCACCCACTCATCATCTCACTCACCCACTCCGTCACCCATCAACTCACTCACCCACTCACCATCTCACTCACCCATCCACCATCTCACTCACCCACTCACCATCTCACTTACCATCTTGTTCACTCACCCACAAACCCACTCACTCACTCACCCACCCACTCACTCACTAACCAACCCACTCACTCACCCACCCGCTCACTCCCCATCTGATTCAATCACCATTCCCTCCCCATCTCGCGTTGCCCATCCTCAAGGTCGCTCCCCACTGGGCCGACCTCTTCACCCCTCAGCCCGAGCCTCTCCCCGATAACAAAAGTCAAAGTTTTACTTTAACAGACAGTGGCCCCACAACTCAAAGTCAAATTCACGGTCCCCTCTGGGCCAGTTTTGACTTACGGTGTTTCATTGACAGCAGCGGCAGCAGCACCAGCGAGGCGTTGCTTGTAAATCACAGCCGTTCAATGCAAGCCAAACAATTGGCCGGTTTGGTATGCAGCGGTGTAGAGAGTTCATCTCCCTGGCCTACTATACAGGAGGTCGTGGGTGCAATCCCAATCCTGACCCCTGCTGTATATTTGTTGAAGACACTGAGAGTCTGGGTTGGAGCCCTGGGTGTCTCTCTCTCAGTGGGGTTCACTAAGCCAGAGACACTGAGAGTCTGGGTTGGAGCCCTGGGTCTGGGTCTCTCTCTCTTTCAGTGGGGTTCTCAATGGCCGTGTCAGAGACACTGAGGGTCTGGGTTGGAGCCCTGGGTCTGGGTGTCTCTCTCTCTCAGGGGGTTCACAATGGCCGTGTCGGAGACACTGAGACTCCGGGTTGGAGCCCTGGGTCTGGGTGTCTCTCTCTCAGTGGGGTTCACTAAGCCAGAGACATTGAGAGTCTGGGTTAGAGCCCTGGGTCTGGGTGTCTCTCTCTCTCTCTCAGTGGGGTTCACTAAGCCAGAGACACTGAGAGTCTGGGTTGGAGCCCTGGGTCTGGGTGTCTCTCTCAGGGGGTTCACTAAGCCAGAGACACTGAGGGTCTGGGTTAGAGCCCTGGGTCTGGGAATCTCTCTCTCAGTGGGATTCACAATGGCCGTGTCGGAGACACTGAGACTCTGGGTTGGAGCCCTGGGTCTGGGTGTCTCTCTCTCAGTGGGGTTCACAATGGCCGTGTCGGAGACACTGAGACTCTGGGTTGGAGCCCTGGGTCTGGGTGTCTCTCTCTCTCAGGGGGTGCACTAAGCCAGAGACACTGAGACTCTGGGTTGGAGCCCTGGGTCTGGGTGTCTCTCTCTCAGGGGGTTCACTAAGCCAGACACACTGAGACTCTGGGTTGGAGCCCTGGGTCTGGGTGTCTCTCTCTCAGGGGGTTCACTAAGCCAGAGACACTGAGAGTCTGGGCTAGAGCCCTGGGTTTGGGTGTCTCGCTCTCAGTGGGGTTCACAATGGCCGTGTCGGAGACACTGAGACTCTGGGTTGGAGCACTGGGTCTGGGTGTCTCTCTCTCAGTGGGGTTCACTAAGCCAGAGACATTGAGAGTCTGGGTTAGAGCCCTGGGTCTGGGTGTCTCTCTCTCTCTCAGTGGGGTTCACTAAGCCAGAGACACTGAGAGTCTGGGTTGGAGCCCTGGGTCTGGGTGTCTCTCTTTCAGTGGGGTTCTCAATGGCCGTGTCAGAGACACTGAGACTCTGGGTTGGAGTCCTGGGTCTGGGTGTCTCTCTCAGGGGGTTCACTAAGCCAGAGACACTGAGGGTCTGGGTTGCAGCCCTGGGTCTGGGTGTCTCTCTCTCTCAGGGGGTTCACAATGGCCGTGTCAGAGCCACTGAGAGTCTGGGTTAGAGCCCTGGGTCTGGGTATCTCTCTCTCAGTGGGGTTCACAATGGCCGTGTCGGAGACACTGAGACTCTGGGTTGGAGCCCTGCGTCTGGGTGTCTCTCTCTCAGTGGGGTTCACAATGGCCGTGTCGGAGACACTGAGACTCTGGGTTGGAGCCCTGGGTCTGGGTGTCTCTCTCTCTCTCAGGGGGTGCACTAAGCCAGAGACACTGAGACTCTGGGTTGGAGCCCTGGGTCTGGGTGTCTCGCTCTCAGTGGGGTTCACAATGGCCGTGTCGGAGACACTGAGACTCTGGGTTGGAGCACTGGGTCTGGGTGTCTCTCTCTCAGGGGGTTCACTAAGCCAGACACACTGAGACTCTGGGTTGGAGCCCTGGGTCTGGGTGTCTCTCTCTCAGGGGGTTCACTAAGCCAGAGACACTGAGAGTCTGGGCTAGAGCCCTGGGTTTGGGTGTCTCGCTCTCAGTGGGGTTCACAATGGCCGTGTCGGAGACACTGAGACTCTGGGTTGGAGCACTGGGTCTGGGTGTCTCTCTCTCAGTGGGGTTCACTAAGCCAGAGACATTGAGAGTCTGGGTTAGAGCCCTGGGTCTGGGTGTCTCTCTCTCTCTCAGTGGGGTTCACTAAGCCAGAGACACTGAGAGTCTGGGTTGGAGCCCTGGGTCTGGGTGTCTCTCTTTCAGTGGGGTTCTCAATGGCCGTGTCAGAGACACTGAGACTCTGGGTTGGAGCCCTGGGTCTGGGTGTCTCTCTCTCTCAGGGGGTTCACAATGGCCGTGTCAGAGCCACTGAGAGTCTGGGTTAGAGCCCTGGGTCTGGGTATCTCTCTCTCAGTGGGGTTCACAATGGCCGTGTCGGAGACACTGAGACTCTGGGTTGGAGCCCTGCGTCTGGGTGTCTCTCTCTCAGTGGGGTTCACAATGGCCGTGTCGGAGACACTGAGACTCTGGGTTGGAGCCCTGGGTCTGGGTGTCTCTCTCTCTCTCAGGGGGTGCACTAAGCCAGAGACACTGAGACTCTGGGTTGGAGCCCTGGGTCTGGGTGTCTCGCTCTCAGTGGGGTTCACAATGGCCGTGTCGGAGACACTGAGACTCTGGGTTGGAGCACTGGGTCTGGGTGTCTCTCTCTATCAGGGGGTTCACAATGGCCGTGTCAGAGCCACTGAGGGTCTGGGTTGGAGCCCTGGGTCTGGGTGTCTCTCTCTCAGTGGGGTTCACTAAGCCAGATACATTGAGAGTCTGGGTTAGAGCCCTGGGTCTGGGTGTCTCTCTCTCTCGCAGTGGGGT